TTTGAAGGTGAACTCCAAATTTAAAAAATTTTAAAAAAATTTCGATATCTCACAAAGGACAAGATTTTAGACGACTCTTTGTAACATGTTGAAATATTACAAAAAATACATTCAATGTCACATAAAATCCCATATCACTATGTTATTAAAGATTAGTTTTGAGATTTATAATTATGACACTCGTTATTAAAGACTAGTTTTGAGAGTTATAATTATGACACTCGTTATTAAAGGCTAGTTTTGAGATTTATAATTATGACACTCATATATCCACGTCGAACAATATCATTTTGACACACATCATATAGTTTATTTTACTTATTTAATCTCCTGCAAGAAAGAAAAGGAAGGTTCATAAATAAAGAATATCAATGAGATTTTGCGGGTCAAGGGTTACTAAAGATTGCAATCTTAAGTAGCTCTTTTTCCAACGAGAGTGAGAACCTAGGCATATGGAGCAGTAAATAAGTGTGGACCTTGGTGTATTCACATTTCACCGTAGTGATTGCACTGCCCATTGTCCTATACTCCTACACCTTTTTCCTTCTTCTTCATTTGATGCCTAAGCCAAAAGTATTTCACCCAAATGATGTGTGGGCCCCAAATCTATATGACTACATGCTAAAGCCAACCATAAATGTTTATTCTGGTGTTTTTTCTTCTTTTTTTCCCTCTAAATCGCAAAAAGAAAACCTTAAGAAGGATGCCAAGATGGTGAATAAAAAGGTTTGGAAAAAGTTTATATAAAGATGCTACCTTATAATGGGGAACTATAGATGCCCCTCAAAAATCTTTCAAAAAAAGTAGTGGAACTATAGATGCCCCCCAAAAATCTATCAGAAAAAGTAGTTTCAATGTTGAAAAACCTTTTGATTGATCATCTTGACATCGAGATGCATGACTATGAAAAATAAAAAGATTTTAAATATCATAAATAGTACATTTTATAACATATTATTATCTACACTATCCATTTTCAAGATTTTCATATGTTTATAGATCTACTTGATTTTAACTATTTTTGAAATTTTAAATTTTATAATTAGATATCAAAAAATATTTTGAGATATTCCTAAGAACATTTTACATAAAAATTATATACCATGATAAAATTTGAAGGTGCACCTACGGATGCATCCGTATGCAAACTACACCCAAATGAAGTGTGGTACCCAACTTTCACAAGAGAACACATCGTATGACACTCTCATTGGCCTTGAACAGTGTTTGAAATCCGAGTAATCGGTAAACCCTCCTAATCGGGTAGGTGCCAATCCAAAAAGTGTAAAAAATTTAAAAATACAAAATAAATCCAAAAAATCTGAAAGTATATTTGAAGCATGGAAAAAGCGTCTATAGAGCCAAGGATCTAAACAATCAAATTAGAGCCCACCTCAAAAATTTCACTAGAAGAGGTTGTTTTGATGCCCAAATATCCTCAAAACGATCTTCTCGACATCAAGATGCATGGACATGAGAAAATATGGATTTCAAGTTTTTGGAAATACTGCATCTTGTAACGCATTTTGGGACCGTCAATTTTCAAGCTTTACATAGATCTACTAGATCTACACTATTTTTGAAGCTTTAAGTTTATAATTAAAGATGAAAATATATTTTAAAGCTATCACAAAGATTCCTAGTATTGAAACCACATTTCTCGACTCTATTCAAAGGTACTCTTTATTTTGAATGTTTAGAACCTGGGCTCTATACAAACCATACCCTTAAATAAAGCAAATCCAAATGAAGTTGAAAAGTAATAATAAAATGGATTTTAAAAAATAGATTTGTACCCAAGGCTATTTTCAAAATTTTCAAAAAAAGATGGAAAAATATAAAAATAGGTATTTATGGCCAAAGGGCTTTCCAATCTTTGCCAAAATGATAAAAAAAAATATTTAAAAAACATTACAAACAAATTCTTTATTTTCTGGGATTATATATATATTATTTTTATTTTATTTTTTTTGAATTTTAAAAAAAATACCCAATTGGACCACCAAAACTGGCCAAAACCAGATCGGCCGATGCCCTCTAGTTTGACCGGCCGGTTCTGAGTTGGACCGGCGAAGTTTGCCAATATTGATCTTGACAATGTTGTATGGTACATTTCATAAAGGGAGAAGTTTATATAGAGCCTAGGCTCTAAACAATCAAATTATAAACTACCTCAAAACTTTCACTAGAAGAGGTTATTTTGATGTCCAAATATCATCAAATTGATCATCTTGACATCAAGATGCATGGACATAAGAAAAAAATAGACTTCAAGTTTTGAAAAGAGTGAATTTCAAGATTTTCAAGTTTTCATAGATCTACTCGATCTACACTATTTTTGAAGCTTTAAATTTTATAACTAAAGATGCAAATATAATTTAAGGCTATCGCACAACTTTCCAGTAGTGAAACAGTATTTCTCGACTCCATTTGAAAGTGGGTTCTAATTTGATTGTCTATACAAACGGCAGCCTATGATAAATGACTTTTCTTTTTCTTTTCTTTTTTCTTTTTCATTTACACAAGTGTACAACCAGAGTAATAAAATCATATCCCACCAAAAACCATTTGAAAAAACAGGTAGGGGCTATCTTTCCCACTGAATTACCCAAAAAAACACACACACAAAAAAATTAAGAAAAGGGCGCTGAAAATGCTAGGCCATTACTCGAAAAACGATATGCTTGGCGTACTTCGTTTTGGGAGATGAACTTCAATAGATATTTGATTAGGGGTTGTTTCAGTCAATGAAGGCTGAGATATGTGGACTTGAGCTGAGGTCTTTTGTCTTCCATGAAGGGAGAGGCATGTCATGTTTTATTCCATACACCAATTTAGTCCATAAACACACTCACAAACTCTATAAACGGAACACTTAGCCCCTTAAGTATATGTTTAGTGATAAATGTATCAGTTTGGATGAATGGGCGTGCAAACTGTCGGGTTAAATTCAAACCTTCAAAGAACTATTAGAAAAGGAAGAATGTTCAGATTTGCTTTTTGAGAAAGAAAGAAACATCAGGTCCGGGTTTAGATTTGGCAAACCTGGATCAAATTGGCTGAGTCGTGTCGGGTCTTGGCTAGATATCTTAAAATAGAACATAATACAAAATACTTGATAGACCCCAACATAGACTTGGACCGAACCCTCCTGATCCATGACTCAAACCCATTTTGCAACTCGTTTTACACCCCTACGAGAAAGGGAGGCCAAGGGTTCAAACCTTGATGTTTATGCAGAAAAACCAGATATGCTGACCTACCTTTTTCCTTTTACTACATCCCAAGTTCGAATCTGAACGAGCTCCTACCGCTGGTTTGGATATTAGATATAGTAAACAATAAGTTTGGGCATTAGATGTTTGAACCAGCATATTTACAAAAAAAATCAGATTATTTATCCAATTTCCGAACCAATATTCTACTTAAAAATAAAAAAAACTCCAGCTCGAAAGTTGGGTATCTGAACTCGGAGTAATTACAAGACTGTTTTGAATTTTAAAATTTGTGTGGTTAAGCAAGAAAGGTGTTTTGGCTTAGACAACTTCTCTCACCATCCCAAAATGACACTAGCATCTAGTAAATAGTGGGCATGTTTATTAAAAAATTATCACACTAGGAAATTTTTAACTATGTCTTAGAAGTACAACTTTTACGGCAAATAAATTGAGGAAATTAAGAGAAATTTGACGGTCAATGTTGACTTTAAGCTTCATCTAAGTAATTCTTTTTCTACAATGAAAGATAGAATAAACAAATTAAAATAAGTATCAATCCCCAAGCGCGCATGAGCCAATAATTAAGTAGTAATCATAGAAATTCACATAGTACTCCCTATTTTGGGTGATGTAAAAAACATCATAATTTTGTGGCCCCCAAAGGTTTAAGAAGGGATTTATACATGGGAATATTATGGGTAGCCTGTTGGGGATACTTTATTAGATATCAAATTGGAGGGGCTTGGGGGAGAGTCATAAAGGCTCACCGAAATTTTTTTTTTTTTGGAGATAAATAGGTAGTCTATCTAAAAACAAGTGTAATTAACTGCCCAAATGTTTTTTTAATATAATTATTATTTTTAATCTTTAATTTTTTATTTTTATCTTTTTATATTCATGATCTCCATGTTAAAGATTATATATTTTTAAAAAATTAGGATAAAATTATAGTTAAAAAATATATTTAGTGCCAATACCGCATTACTACAATATGCAGGCTAACCGCATAGAAATCTTTTTGTATACGAAAGTCACAATCATAGTCAAATTGTATAGGCTTGAGGTGAGTCACAAAGTTTGAGATTTTTTTTTTTTTTTAGAACTTTATGTCCATTCAATGACACACTTACAACCACCTACTTTGAAATTTAAAAAACAATAATGATTGTGACCTCCATATACAAAAAAATAAATGGTCTAAAGAGATACACCCCCCCTGCTTTAAAAAGGTGTACTATGCAAATTTATGGGAAAAAAATTCTCAACTTGCTTCCTAGTCATGCTCGACCATACTATTATTTACTCATTCGGCTAAAACTCCATATAGAAGCAGGACCCCAAATTTTGGGGACGTATCTTATTCAACTTAGCAATCAACTTCAAAAAAACAAAAAAAAAGAAAAAAAGAAAGAAGAGAAGGAACAGAGAAATAGAGAGAATTCAAATATGCTCTCTTGAAGCACATCCTAAAATTCAACATAGGCCATTCAAATTTCGGATTGCTAGATCTAAGTGATAAAGAACTAAAAAACCTTTTTGTATTAATAAAAATAACCATTGGTGATCTTAGACACTTCTTAGTATTTCAGATCCGATAAATCCTTCAGAGAAGCTTTTTCACCTGACAGAGCACATAGACATTATGCTCCCACTGTAACACACAAACACACTAGAAACTACTTAGTTATTATCAAAAGTGAGGAAAGGTATTTGGATAGCTGGGATTCGAACCTTGGATCTTCTAATGTGGCCTCCCTCAAAATTACACACATTTTCCACCAATTAAGAGGAAAATAATAAATTTTTTGAAAAAAAAATGTTCCATCCACCATTTCATCCAAAGTGATTCTCCTCATATTTTTATTGTATTTTTGAACAAGCTGTAAGGTTTACAATAAACTTATTCTCCACACAACCAATAGAATCAAGTACTTCATATACAACACTATTACATCAACTTTATTCCCCAACTCCACCAAATAAAAAAATATATAAAAAAAAAAAAAATCTTATATACATTGCATTTGCTCTCACCCATGGAATTTCCAAGATTTATACAAACCTATATAATCCCTTTTCATTATTTCCCTAAAGATGAGAAAACTTTTACCCTTTTCCAAGAAACCATTAAGACATGGTGTTTGAAAATTTGGTGTAAATATAGGTTAGGAAATTGAATAGGAAAGCCAAGGCCAAAGCAATTAGGAGTTGGTCACAAAATGAGATTTTCTTCATGACCTTCATTGACTTGAGAAATAATGTGGAAGGTGTACACTTGAATGTTAAGGAGAGAGCTGAATTGCATTCCTCATCAGGAACAAAGTATGCGGCCCCACTTACACTTTCATATAAACCATAGCTCCATTCCTGTATTAACCATTAAATCATTCAATCAGGTATCTATCAATTTTGTATTGAAAAAATATTATCAAAATGGTCAAACCACTTTGTGATTATAAATACTTTTTTGACGAGGAAGAAATTTTCGAAAATGCCTTTTTTTGAGGTGTCTCCTCGAGAATTTTATATAAAAAAAGGGCCAAATTGCTCTAGTTCTGGATTTATGCTCTAGTTCTGGATTTATAGACCTAGAAGTAAGGGAATATTTGGTAATTTAACCAACAATGACTTAAATGTTCCTACTTGTTTGGGGATCCAAACTTGGAATATGTTTATCATTAAAATATTTATTGGATTTGGAACCTGGAACAGATATATTATTTTGCAATTTTTCCCTATTTAAGTACTCAAGTGAAAAGATATTAACATGTTGCTCCCTTCAGTTTTCAAACTAGGAAAAAATTGTCATCATCATCATTTTAGTCTTTTTCCAATTAATTGGGGTCAGCTATAAGAAAAAAATTATCAATAAAAATAAAAATAAAAGTTTAATAATATTTCGATCATCTAGCTTGTGTAACTTTGAGTGGCCAAATTATTGGAATGTCCCAACTTGTATTAGGTTCCAAACCGAGCAAAATAGCACTTGGCCATGCCCAACAAAAGAATTATAGAGGTACCTAAATCGGTAACAATAACACTAACTTCAACTTTTGCTTCTGTTTTTTTCTTTTAGGTTAGGAGGGTTTTCTTTTCTTTTCTTGTTTTTTTTTGGGGTGGGGGGGGGAGGTGGGCGATGGTTGATTGTTCATTACTAAGATCTCTCACTCTGTCACTCACACACAAAAAAAAGAGAGCAATTAGTGGCACCTGTAAATGGTCTCCGGCTGTGACGACTATGTTTCCGATGTCAGGCCTGAAGGAGAATGAACCTCTCGGAGTCCGGAAGCAAAACCGAAGCCACATGCTCCAATGAAGGCTTAAAGCGTGTGGTGCATCACCTGTGCATTCTCCATTTTCCTCCAAATATGAATTTGTTCCTTCAAAATTTTCGTGACTGAATTTGTTTACATACAGGCCTGGTTCACTCTCTTGAATTCTCCGTGTTACTTGATTTTTGGTATTTTCTGACAAAATCTGACCCAAAATTTCTGCGATCTTCTTGAATCCACACGAAGTTTCTTCCATATTTTTGCTGAATTTGGAAATTAGAAAAGGCAAAGAAAAGAAAAGTGAACTCTAGTACTGAGGTCCAAAGTTAACATTGAAAAAACAAGAAAAAGAATATGAGATTATTAGGATATTGAAAGAAAATAATAATAACTTATTAAGAAATACGAGGAAATACTGATAAAATGGCTAGACCACTTCAAAATCATAGAGATGGTCGTAACCGTTTATCAACAAAGAGTTTATTTTAAAATATCATTTCACTCACATACCCTTTCAATTTTTTTTGAAAAATATCCAAAATTCCCTTATTCTAAAATTAGAATCATGAACAAGAATTTGGCCTGCTTATGCTACCCATTCTAAATGATTACCGCGACCTCCTCTTTCGGAACTTGGAAAAAACTATTATTTATTTAAATATCTATCAAGTGTTTTGATCTTATAATGAGGAGGCGTATTCACATCATTTGGCTCGAAAGTAGCCCGAGCCAAATGCTGAATCCACCTCTATTTGTTGAGTTCCAAACCTGAAACATGTGTTTTTAATAAATTTCTTGTTTCAGGTTGGGATGCGGTACAAGCAAAGGCACTTTGATTATTGAGCCACAGTTATTTAATTATCTAAATTATAAAAATACCATTTGTTATTCATGATTCATAACCTAAAAGTGATGCATTTGGGGCTGTACTTGAATGAAAGCAACCCTATTAAAGTAACTACTATGTTGATGAATTGGTTGCTTTTGACCACCTTACTGATATTTTGAGGTGGTTTGACCATTTTAATGATATTTTATCACAAAATGATTTATTGGTACTTTATCTTTTAGTAGAAATAATAAAATTTATGTACGTTGAAAATTATAAATATTTTTTTACTGTACATATATGATTTTTTCTCTTCTTTTTTTTCTTTTTTCGGATGTATGTCCTATGTCATCTTGATGAAATAAGAGCCCTCCATGGCATTTTATTGAATGATAACTTTAAGATCTTTCTTTCTATCCTAGGAATCTCTTTTTCCACAATAAAATCGAAAGAAGGGAGGCTTCCATGATGTTCACATTTCCGAGAAAATTGAATTCCTTGTATAAACTCTCAATGAATAAGATATTCTTTTCGAAAAAAGTATATAATGTTGTTATTTACTTTTGATACAAAGAAGTCAAAATCATTATTGAATATTGATCTTTAGATTTGAAATTGGGTGGTTGAAGATGGGTCATTAATTACATACAAAGTCCAAAATAAATTTTCTCGAATGTTGTAACACAATAATTTATTGGATTTCACCTCCAATAGCTACAAATAATCTTATACCAAAGGTAACTAGTCTCATAGGATACAATCTCTTCTTTTCCACATTGGACTCTTCGGATTTCAAATCGTTTGTAATTTTTTTTTTTTTAAAAAGTAAAATAAATGCAAGTAGAAATTCAACACTTTCTTGTACTAGATATATTAGTCAAAATTTCTTATTAATTTATTTTTAAATTTTAAAATAAATAATATAAAAGGAATTTGTCCCACCTATCAGGCTTCGAATAAGCAAGATACCCTTACATAAATAGGATGAGGATATTTTGTTAACTCGTTAGGGTTGCCTGAGTATTTGGTTTTTTCAATAAAAATAATTCATGCCAATACGAATAAAAGTTTTGTAAATGTTCTGTAATTTGATAGCTTGCTCTTGTGCATTGCACAAGCTGTGATTTAGTATCTTCAAGTTTGGTGCTTCATATTTGAAATTATCGTTTACGAAACAAAGTGCTTCCTGTATGCAAATCACTTTTTATCCTAGATGTCATGAATTCCTTATTTTTCTAGGTAATTTGGCACTAAAAAGGAAATATATTAAAAAAATCCCGGTTTTATTTTGAAGTTTTAAAAAAAGTCTCAATATTCTACACTCAAGTCCGACTTCTGGAAATGATATAGTCTACTTTAATTTTATCTATTTTTATATATATTGGATTATGCTTAAATTTGGTAAATTTATGGGTCTTATATATATATATATTATTAAAAATAATTTAAATTAAATAGAGCTACCAAAATACCCTAAAATAATTTAGGGGTTTTCTGGTTATTTATTATTTTTGAATCATATTTAATACTTTGTTATAGTTGTGAGAAGTATGCTTATACCGAATGTTAGCTTAATCTAATATGTAGAAAAGCAAATTAAATTAAAATGCACATTATGCGTCAAAAGAGTTGGACTTGAGTGCAATATGAAATATATGAGACTAATTTTAATGGAGAGTTTATATAAAGTTGAGGCCTTAAACAATCAAATTAAAGTGTACATCAAAAATTCATTATAAGGGGTTGTTTCAATGTCAAAATGTCAAAAAATCTTCAAATCAATTATCTCGACCTTGAGATGTATAGATGGGAAAGAAATAGATTTCAAGTCCAGAAGATATTCCATCTTGTAATGTGCCCTCAATTTTTAATATTTTGAAGTGCTTATAGAACGGCTTGATCTACACTATTTTCAAATATTTAAATTTTATAATTTAGATAAAAATAAATTTTCAGGCCATCACATAGATTTTTTCTACTTAGAAATCATCTTTCAAAATTAATGAGAGTCACGTCTTACTTCGATTGTTTAGGGCCACAACCTTACATAAACCACACCTATTTTTAAATGAAAATGTACATAATAAGACTGTTTACTTTTTATACAAGGAGGTTACAATTATTATTGATCATTAGATGTAAAAGGGTGGTTGAAGATATATCATTATTAGGCATAATGTCCTAAATAAAATTTCTCAAATATTGGGACACATTTAATCAATTGGAATTCACTTCCAATGGCTAAAAGTAATTGTGATCTTCTTGTCTCGAAAATAAATGGTCATATAACTTAAAATCTTTTTTAAAAAATTCAAAATAAAATAGGAAATTTTCATAAATTTCCTTATCTATAAATTCGCATTTCTCATGTGGTAAAACTATCCTCTTTGATAATAAATATAAGGGAAATTGATCAAAATGCACCTTTATACTATCTATTATTTAATATTTGGGTGCGGTTTCTATAACATTGCAACCTTAAACAATCCAATTAGGCGCATTTCCAAATTTTATCATAACATGTAAAAACTTATTAGGATTATCTTAAAATTTATTTTCATATATAATTAGAAAAAATTTAACTCCAAAAATGGTTAAAATCAAGGAGATCTATAAACATATGAAAATCTTCAAAATGTATGGTCTAGATAATGTGTTGCAAGATGCATCTTTTCTGAGACTCAAAAACCTTTTTTTTATACATATTCATACATCTCAATGTCGAGAAGATCAAATATAGAGTTTTTCAACATTGAAACAACCTTTCCGATAGATTTTTGAGGTGCACGTGTAATTCTACATTTTAAGGTTGCAACCTTATATAAACTTTTTCCTTAATATTTTACTCCTTTTCAACTATTTCAACTCATGATCATTAATTTTTTGCATAAATTTTGAAATTAAATAAAAAATAGTTAAAATACTAAATAGTTCATCTTTTAAATGTATTTTAATAAAGGGAAAAGTTTATAGAGAGTTGAGGCTCTAAACAATCAAATTAGAGCCTACCTTAAAAAGTTCACTAGAAGAGGTTGTTTTGATATTTGAATATCTTCAAATCGATCATCTCAACATCAAGATACATGGACATGAAAACAAAAATGGATTTCATGTTTTGAAAATAGTGATCTTATAATACATTTTGGACCATCAATTTTTAAGATTTTCAAGTTTTCATAGATCTGCTTTATCTACACTATTTTTGAAGCTTTAACTTTTATAATTAGAGATGAAAATATATTTTAAGGCTATCACAAATATTTTCATTGTTCAAACCACAATTCTCGACACTATTTAAAGGTGGGCTCTACTTTGATTGTTTAAAGCCTCGGCTCTATACAAACCGCACTCTTTAATAAATTTCCATGTTATATAAATCCTTGTTAACTACTGAATGAAGATGTGTAGATTAGCTCTTAATTACTGTTAAGTAGTAAACAAACTACTATGCATACTAAAAGGTTACTTTGAAAATTTTCTCTAGATGATATAAAGTCATAAACTAACATCTAAAATAAACAAAGATTTAAAAACAAGTGCTGGGAATAATGTATTTCTAACACACGTGCAACACAGCGTCCAATCACAAAATTTATTGCACCAGCACACGTGAGTTAAAATTTACCCCATGCCGAATGAGGATGACCCAGATCTCCCCATACATCCTTATGATATCCGATCACAATCGTCCATTTCGTCCTAGAAATCATGTGCACTCACTAAACCTCTTGAAACTTAAAGAGCTTACTTACCAAACCGTCGTGCAACTTTCCGGTCGGAGAACTGCCTTCACTTCTTCCTTTTCCGGCGAAGCCCACCGAACCTCTTCCCTGATTCCAGCCACATGGCCGGAATCACTAAGAAAGACCTTGAATATCTTGCAAATTGTCTTCTTCTTATCATCTAGTGCCCCGAACAAATTGTCTAAATTCTCATTCAATGGTGAAAAATCATCCCCTAGCAAAGCATGATCAGCCAATTCGAAGCAGCCAAAATCTTTTAATGAAGAGAGAAGTCGGTTTATTGAGGAGGGGTCTCTTGAAATAAGAGAAGGTAGCGAGATGATGGCGGGAATTCGGCGAGAAGTTTGGTCGGAAAAATGGGATTCTGGCAATTGGAGGTGGGGGATTTTGAGGGATCTCTCAAGGTATTCGGTGAAGATCTCATCATTGATCGCTGCCGATCGGGTTCCTTTGCCGGTGGCGATAGGAGATGGGGGTGGGTCTGAAAATATGTGGGATTTTTTCCTTTGTAGAATCGCCATGAATGTGTGAGAAGAGAGAATGAAGAAGACATAAAGTGATGGTAAAGGAGGAGGAGAAAGCATTTTATTGATGGATTTCTTTTCTTTTATTAAGCTTGATGAGAAATTTATTAAAAGAAAAAGAAAGATGATAAAAAGAGAAGAAGGGAATTAGCACGCAAAGATCTTCTAGATTACAAAACATCATTTTTAAATATGAGAGAAAGGTGGCCGTATTTTACTTGATGACCATTGGGCCCTCTTTTGAATTTATTTCAAATTTGTATATTTTTTTCCCCCTCTTTTGGGTTTTATTCTTTTACATTTCTTGGTTAAAAGACTAAGGGTGTTTGAGTCAATGTATACTTTTTTGTTTGGCAGGGTGGCCAAGACATTGCATCTTTTATAAAGCTGGCCAAAAACCCAACCTCCTTTTGGTTGGGTAGGGTCCAAAGCCAACTTCTTAATTTTGAAAAGACTAACAAAAATCTTTCCAATACTTACTTCTAGATGAGCTAATCTTCTTTAGGTAATATCCATTTCTCATGATGCCTTAAAAATGAATAAATGTGGGAAAAAATAGCATTAAAGAGGTCAAAACTACTTACAAATATCTCAATTGATATTACAGGCCTTATTTTGTAACACTCATTTCACTTTAGTACTTTTTCAAAAAATATCTTAAAAGATATCAAAATTACCTACATTTAGGTTTGAGAGCTTCGGAATTTGACACACCTAATAGATCCCAACAAATGATGGGAGTACTCCTTTTTGTTTGGAAAGGGTCAAATTATTAAAAATACTCTTGCTTATTCAGGGTTCTCAACCTAAATAGAGTCAATTTGGATATTTATAAAGATATGTTTTGAAAATATAGCTTAGTAAAATGAAAATTAGTATACTTTTATTAATTGAGATATTTTGATTTTGTTAAGAATTTTGACCCCTTGTGCGATATCTTCTCATAACTAACTTTTTTTTTAGTGTTGGTTCTTCTTCCACTTTATCCTTTCACAGTTTCATATTATAAAATGGTTGGTACCTCAAATGTACACAAATATAGATATACCATCGAGAACGTTAAAAAGAAAAAGAAAAGAAAAAAAAAGAAAAAAGGAGGAAGATATGTCACCGATAAAATAACCCTTTTTGCTACTCGTGATTCACAAGAATAATCAACATGACATAAAAATATAAATGAACTTGCTAAAGTGTCACTCTTTTAACTTGCAAATGATCTTAGGACCATGGCATCACACTCGGAAAAGGTCGGGTTTATTATATAGATTTAAAAGCGAACAATGAGCTAAGTGCACATCTATTAAAAGGAGATCGCACGACTTATTCATCACCAAATGGAAGGGTGTCCGTTGGTTCATTTAAAGCTAAGGATTCATTATAATATGAGGAAGGGTTTGAATACTGAATTTGATCAAAAAAATTGTATGCTCCCATGGGTAAGTGCTACCTCAGATAATACATTATAAAATTTAAAGATCAAAAAATAGTATAGATCGAGAAAATATATGAATACTTGAAAATTTTGAAAATTGAGGGTCTAGATAATACATTATGCGTTATTTTCAGGACATGAAATCTATTTTTCTCCATGTCCATACATCTTGAGGTCGAGATGATCAAAATGAAGGTTTCTCACCATCGAAACAACCTCTTTTAGTAAACTTTTGTGGTGTAACTTAATTTGATTGTTTAGGGCCTCGCCCTTACATAAACTTTGTCGTTTTAAAAATACTCAATTGGGATTATAAAATCCATGAATTTTTTTTTTAGATAAAATAATTTTAAAGATGTATTTTACCGAGGAACAAAGGCTACAATATGCTCCGTGGGGCATGCTATAAACGCTCCTAAATTTAATGAAATTGCATATGAAGCTCACCCTCTTTTCTACGAGTTTTACATACCTTGATTAGGATGGGCGGTCCAGACAGCAAAACTCATCAATCACACGAGCGTAATTTTGCTTGTTCCTAAAGAAAGCCCACCAAAGAAACCCAACCCCACTTCTCTCAAGTGGAATAGAAGCTTGACCTAATACCCCTTACAGCTATAAAAATGTCCTCCCAACTTTAACAAGTACTATTATACACCCTTTCCATCATTCCATGGGCCCTAACTATTTTTGGCCATTTTGTTCAAACCCCCCCTATTTTTTTTCCTATTTTTTTGAGTTTTTTTATATTTTTTTAGTTGGGCTTGGCCAGGACCCTGCGTGACTCGGGCTTAGTAACTCGGACTTGGCCGAGGCATGGACGGAGTCTTGTCCCTGATTTGTGGTTTTGAACACTATCTAGTACTTCGGTATATTAGCCAACACCATTAGACATACTTATATGATTATCATTCATAAACAAAGTATTATATTTTAACCATAAACTATAGTTTCCTTTTCTATATTGTGTTGTAAGTGGATATGAGGTAGAAGAGTAAAAGATGATATGCCAAAATAACTCAAGCTAAACCTTGCATTGAGCACCTCTATAATATTTCATTATTTTTCAAATAACTAGCAGTGTTTAAGTAATGACACGTGCCAACATACAACACCAATCAAAAAGTAAAATGTCGCTAACGTTGTTCATCTAATGTCAACTACAATTCAAAATCATTTTCAAGTACTACCTTCATTTATCAAAGTAGATACTCCAGGTTTAAGAGACTCATACCTATCTTGCTTGTGCCGCGGGAGCATATTGTGTATCTACCCCCTCACTCAAAAGATCCACTTGGGAGATTTTTCATTCTGAATTTTTTTGACAACTTAAGAATTATTAGATGATTATTTTCAAAAAAAAATTATTGAATTTGAGTGTTTTTACACTCATATCTTGCCATTCAAAAATTGGACGGTTTTTGTTCAATCTTGAAGCATTATTTTTTCCTAGTACATTGAGAATTCAACTCGAAATTTTTTTTTGAGGTTAGTCTGAAGAGGTTACATCCCAAAATTTTGGAGTGGGAGTAAATGGACAGTACACTTCGGCAGGAGTATAAAATCTTTTGGCTTCTTTCTAGAAAATTCTCTAATTTCCTAGTCCACATAATGATGGGCTTGAGCTTGAGCTTGGGCTTGGGCCGAGTCCTGACTTAATGATGTGCTAGTATCAACTGTTGGTCTTGTCAATATTCAATTCAAATGAGGTGAATAAGCTCTTTAAATTCACAAGGCTTCGACCATATCAGTTTCAAGTTCTTGAGGTTTTTCTTTTGTGATTTTTATTAGGTGGTTTTTTTAAATAAAAAAAAAAACAATAGGGAAAATTGTTCCTTTCTAAAGCAAATAGTGGTGGATGGCCACTTTCTTTTTCCATACTCTAATGAATTGCTATAAGTTTGACATTGACCTTCAAGCTGTATGTGGGTCCCTTCATTGGCAACTTTTGGACCAAAATACAATTTTTCTTTCCAAAGGTTCGGAGGGGTTCTTGGATTTCTTACAAACTTCATAATATTTATCTTTTTTTGTTTTTGTGGGGGCTATTTTTCCTTTTTAATGTGTAGTCTACTTTTTTTTTTTTTTTGTATTACAAACTAATTTAGATGATTTGGGTTTTATTTCCTTTTTGAGATTGTATAGATTATTTACTTTAGATACAAAGAGGTCACAATTGTTTTTTTGCTAATGTATGTGAAATCCAACGCCTTCAAATGTGTCACAACATTCGAGAAAGTTTATTTTAGAGTTTGTGCTTAGTCAATGACATATCCCTTACCGCCCAATTTTATATCTAACGGCCAATGGTAATTACGACGTCCTTATAATAAAGTTAAATGGTCTCATATTGGATAAAGGTCCAGAAATGTGATATATTTAAGTTCAAAATAAGCTGTGGTCCTTTTCTTTTGCTAAATGAAGTCTTGAATTCATGCTCCTGCTTTAGTGGGTTATTACATAAAGATGGAAAATCAAGGTTTTACTTGAGCCCCATTTTATTCATCCAAGGATGGGAATTTTTTTGTCAACATTTTACCCCAAAACCACAAATATGTCTAACATAAAAGGGAAAAATATCATTAGAATCATCAAACCACCTTAAAAATCAATATGATCAAATAATTCCATTTATCAACAAAGTGATTATGCTAAAAAGTTATCGACCTTAGGTTCTTGCTCAACCATTTTTGCTGGAGTACATGAAATGTCCTTTTCTTTTATATAAAATTTTGAACATGAAACGGTATTTTGGTGAATCGGCTCTACTTTTAAGAGATCAAATGACAAAAACCGATTCCAAAACCGTAAACAAGGGCCTTTATTTAAAACAACATGTTATGGGTTTTGGAACCCCGAATTAGTTTCATCATTTGTCTCAAGCCATTTATGTGGAGTTTTGTCATTTGCTTTGGGCTATTGGCCACCTGAGTGGGGTTAAATAACTAAACACTTTTTTTTTTTTTGTTCTTATACCAAAATGCAAAATATATGCATTTTAGTTATTCTTAAACAAAAGAAAAAAGTTTATATAGAGCGGAGGCTCTAAACAATCAAACTGGAGCCCATCTAAAAAATTTACTAGAAGATGTTATTTTGATGTCCAAATATCTTCAAATTTATCATCTCGGCATCAAGATGCATGGACATGAGAAAAAAATGGATTTCAAGTTTTGGAAATAGTGTATCTTGTAACGTATTTTTGGATCATCAATTTTCAAGTTTTCATAGATCTACTCAATCTATAATATTTTTGAAGCTTTAACTTTTATAATTAAAGATGAAAATGTATTTTAAGGCTAGCACAAAGTTTTTAAGTATTAAAACCACATTTCTCAACACCATTTGAAGGTGCGTTTTACTTTAATTGTTTAGAGCCTCAACTTCATACAATCCTCACCCCAAACAAAATAGTTGACAAAGTATTTAAGTGGAATGATCTTTGTAAAGTGGCCACTATGTTGATAAATTGATTGCGTTGACAACCTCAATGACTTTTTGTGGTGATTAGACCAATTTAATGTTATTATCTTGATGTAAAATATCAAGATATAATGGTCCAGCGATAACAACCATGGAAGTATTCACCTATGGTCCTTAGCAAGTTTAGCTGCTAGTGTTGATGTTGCAAATCACTTAATGCTAAACAGTTAATAAAATATGTTGGGGGATGTTTTCATACAACCTCATCCCCACCACTTGGGACAACGACCGTATCTCATTTCCATCCTTTTGTATGAATGAACTCGGCCAAGTCGAGTCGGATTTGGCCAAGTCACTCAGTCTGAGCACCTTATTGAAGCAATTAGTGGTGCCCATATTCGGGCACCACCTGTACAGTACCGGAGTATTATATGGACTAGCCCAAGTATTATAGAACTCTGCTTAGAGTTCAATTGTACTTGGGTGAGTCGATATAGTACTTATCCAAGTGCTGTACACCGAAGCTTTAAATTAAAAGGGCACATAAATATACCCCCCATTTCCCATTTTCTTTACAATAAGAGGCCGGAATCCCCCTTGTTTTCATGCAAAAATTTGTATTATGCTAAAAAATCATTAGAGTTATGCATTGGAAACATCGGTTTTGAGGAAATATCCACTCGTTTTCTCGCATTTTGTAGATTGAAGAAATGAGGATTTCTTCTACCTGATTTTGAAAAACTAATGATTTCTTGAAATGTAATAGTCTATCTTTGACGAAAATCTGACCCAAGTTCTATCTTTTGTGTTTTTTATCCAACCATAGGCTAGTTCCCCCACAAAAAAATAAAAAAAATAATAAATAAATAAAAATAGGGTTTTATAGATTTTAAATTGGGATTTCCTATTAATCCAGAAATTTAAAAATCTAGGATTTCCTAGATCTGAAGTAGACCCCCCGATCAAGAGGGAGGTATGGCAAGGATTTTTAGTCTCGATTCACAACCTAGCACAAAGATAGGGAAATCAGCCTTGAAATTTCATGTATGTTACATTTTTAAATTTGAATTCATAATTTTACCTTTTTTATTGATTCAATTGTAATTGATTTATATTTTGTTTTACATGGAATTTGAGATTTATAATTTTTACGATTTTTTTTTTTCATTTTTCTTCATATTTTTTATTGTATTACAAGCCAATAGCACCGATTTTTTATCTCTGCTTTTATATGCATTTTTCTTTGTTCTTTTTTTTTTGGCATATTTTTTTTACTTTTTTGGATTTTTTCTATTTTTTTTTATATTTCCTTTGAGAACTTCTTTTGAGCAAACTCGGCCGAGTCCACTCAAACTCCTTACAGGGAAGGCCTGGTTCCCAAGACCAACACAAAACGATGCTCGTCATACTCTTGTCCTCCAACAACCAGTTCCTAAATTAAAGAAGGTTTTGGAGCCTAAAAATCCTTTATATTGACTTCCATCTAAACCTATGTTTCAAAGGCTCCAATGCAAGGATGCTTGTTTGATCAAATTAAATTACCTTTTATAACCTCGCATGCTTTGACATCCAACATCAAAGGGCATAATTGGTTAGGTCTTTTGAATTAGGGGATGCCGTTTGGCACTATGTCTTTGGGCTCAATCCCCACAAAAGTGAAGTTTCAACACACTCATGTGATAATTTTTTTTTTAAGAGATTTGTGCTAAATTTAATGGCGATCTTTTAAGATACTTTTTTTTAAGAGATTTGTGTTAAATTTAATGGTGATCTTTTAAGATCTTACACATATGATACATGGGTGTAGGGGATCTCAATCCCCACATAACTCACAACTTTTTTTGAGAGATTTTTGTTAAATTTAAGGCTGATCTTTTAGAATCCTACACATATGATACATGGGTGTGGGGGGTCTCAATACCCACATAACTCACAACTCACATATTAAACAAGAAAAGTGAAGTCCCTCACAACTGACATACTAAACAAGAAAAGTGAAGTCTCACACTCATGTAATGACTTTTTTTAAGAGATTTGTGCTAAATTTAATGGTGATCTTTTGGGATCATACACATATGATACGTGGGTGTGGGGGGGTCTCATAGGATCATTACTCTTGAAATATATATAAGGGTCTCATAGGATCATTACTCTTGAAATATAAATAAAGGTCTCATAGGATCAATACTCTTGAAATATATATAGCAAATATTATAAACAGAATGCATGTTGTAAAAAACAAATAATGCATTGTTGTAAAAAACAAATATTATAGCATCGTGTAAAAGAGATTGCATCTTGTAAAAGAGAAGTTGGGAGAGTGTTTTGGAGACTCTCTATATTTATACATGGTGTAAAAGAGAAGCGAGAGTTTTTTGGAGACTCTCTTTTATTTTTCATGAAATTGGTGACATTCTTCAATCACTTGATATTGAAATACTCCATTATTACATGTGTAAAAGAGAAACTCCATTATTACATGTGTAAAAGAGAAACGAGAGTTTTTTGGAGACTCTCTTCTATTTTTCATGAAGTTGGTGACATTCTTCAATCACTTGAAATTGAAATACTCCATTATTACAAGTGTAAAAGAGAAGCAAGACTTCCTTGTTCATGGGGGAGACCGCAAGGAAAATGCTATATTCCTAAAAGATAGCGAATTTCGTTTGATATGATAATGAGCACTCGAGATTACATTTCTTCAGTATTGCCTTGTGTGTCCCAATAAGGGCCCTATAAATGACTGCCCCAAATTGTAGTATTATACATCAAACATTTATTTGATGGGTCGGGTGGGTTTGAAGTTTGAACTTATAAACCTCAAAATTACAGCAACATTCACCATCCAATTGAGCTATGACCTTGATCCCATCTTCAAACACTTTCAAAGTCTACAAACAAAATACTATTATCTACAATGGCACATTGGCATTAAGCATTACATTCACACTCTCACAACTTTCACAACAAAGACCAGTCTCCCTCATGATCATCCCTGTCTTCTCTTATCTTGGGGAGGTGTAGAATTGCGTGTTCTCGATGACATTTCCGGTGACCTCACATTTCTAGCCTTGCAGGGAAACTCATGAATAGGATGAAAGCCGATATTCTCGATTGCCCCAACTGTCTTGTAAAGCCTCAGCCGTCTCAACTCTTCAGTAAGATTTAGTCGACAAAATTGGCTCCTAATGTCCATCATTGAATATTTCCTTAGCATTTGTCGATTTCTCGAGAGGCGAGTGCTGTCTTGTGGCCTTAAACAATTCTGACAGGTCCTTGGGCTTACTGAGAATGTTTGATCGGTAAATGGACAAAACCTAGAAGTCTTTAGGGTATTGATGTGAACTGGGAGGTCCCTTGTTATAGACATACAGGATTCCTTGCCCTTTCTTCCCCCTGTCTGCAAGCCGGACTCCGAATCTTCTCCTTCTTTATGTGCAGAGTGGTAACTATAATTAGGATAGCCAATTGAGTATGTTGAGCTTTGAGAGCTCGTATCCTCTTCATTGATCCACTCCTCTACACCCACATGAAAAATTGTAAAAGATAGATGAGAAAAATAAAAGATATTGCACTGTATGTAGTTGAGTAGCAAAGAAACCCATATACAACTGATATAGCCCATGGTTGCAAAAAAGTAATGAATCAAAATCCGAAGCACAAGAAACAAGTAGCAGGAACTTATTGCTTGGGTATAAAACTTTATACTTAATTCAGAATTCGGGTTATAAGGTTGAATCTCTAAAATTTTAAAGACAATGACCTCTAAATATGTTTTTATAATCCCTAAACTCAAAGCCAATCCTCTGAGAAGATAGTGTCCTAAAAAGATATTCTAAACACAATTCTGCTCTAGAAAGGGCTTAGCAAATATTGAAATTTCATATTTACTTCCAATAAACAATGGAAAGCATAAAACTGTGTGGGAGTTTGCTTGACTGGTACAATTCACTGCATCGAGTTTACCCGAAATCATATATGACGAGCAATTTAGACACTTGGACATAAAGTTACGGCCCTCGAAAGTCCTAAGATTCCTAATTTCCCCAAGAGACAACTCCCCGAGATTTCATCTTGGGTTTACTTTGCATTTTGGAACTCAAGCAGGAATAGGAAATGCATCACTTGCTCATCGTAGTAATTAACTTGTTAAGATGCACGCCTAACCTAGGGTTAAAAGCAATCTTTGTTTACTTAATAACCTAACACTTTATAGGTCTTATCAGCAAATTGAGTTCATGACAGCCCAATGTCTATCGCCACCACCTTAGCTATTAGTTTTAAAAATACTTCTATTAAAAATAATTACCAATAGCCTTAGAGAGCCAAGAATTGTGATGAGATGGTACCTTGTGACCAATCAATTGAAATGTCTGGCCGATAACTCGAAGCTAATTGACCACTTGAGTCACTATATTGAGCTTCACAGGAAGGAAAAAAGTTGTGAAGAGAATTTTCTGCGGAGGACATGGAGATGTCATCGAAAGGGCCGATGTCCCTAAACTCTGGGTCATCATAGCAGAAGCTCTCATGGTCTAGGGACGACACCTTATTCTTCCAATCTGGGACCAGACTTGATATCTCTGCCTCCATTAACGCTGCAATATCAATTGGATCTTGATCGGTAATTTCAAGCTCCTTCACCATCTCAGTTGCAACATCCATGACAGTGTCTGTGACTATGTCGAATGGGAAATAAATTTTCCGGACTCGACCTATCAAATTTGCATGTGATGAGTTATAATTCATGTCAGAAGAGAAAGCCAAACAAATAAAGAGACATGAAAGAATAAGCACAAGTAAAAGAGTCAAATATTTTGCATTTTTCTGAGGTTTTAAAAGTGCAACACAAGTATGAATTAGCACAAATGCTAAGCAAAGAGAAATCTATACCAAAAAGGAAAAGAAGAAATATCTTGCTTTCTCTAAATGTTTTGGTTAGTATGCTTCTTTAAGTTGGGGGGTTGCATTGAGTTCTGTTTTATAAATGTTTGTGGGATTTTGGCATTTGATACATATTTATTTTCACTTTAGAATTGGAGTTTAAAAGCAAGACTGCTTTTGAACATACCCTCCTTATCGGCCATTTGCACACTCAAGAAGATTGTATCATCATCTGGATTTTGTTTCCCAGTAATGATGAAGTCAGTGCCCCTCTTCGAGCCCATGTTGATAGATGCCATCGGCCACGACGACTCAAAATCAAGAATTTCAGACCCCAAGTTATTGGAGAGTAATGTTTCGCCATTAGCTTCTATCTCTAATTCACCATCTTCAATTTCCAGGAAAGGGTCAAGCAAGAGCTCTTTGGCAGATGGCCTAATTGGTGCGCTCTGCAGGCATCTTTCGATGAACCATTGGGCCTCTGGATCCATCACCCGATTGAGCGAGTCTGGCCGCTTACCCTGAACATGTGACATAAGGATGTGCATGGGTAAGATTCTGGCAACTGGAAATAAGGCATGAGTTGTCGGAATCCAAGGCTTACCGACGTGACTTTCTTGTATATCTGAGCCGGGTTGGAGCACTCGCTGTATGGGTAATCAGCAGTAAGCATCTCTAAAACACACATACCAAAGGAGTAAACATCAACAAGCTCGTTGTACTCCTCTTCATAAAGCTCTGGTGCCATAAATTCCGGTGTGCCTGAGCAAGAGAAGTACACAATCGTTTGTATGTCCTTGATGACTATATAATCTACATTAAGCATGTCTGTCGTAAAAATACATACATGCGTGCATACATACACGATACATACATACATGTAAACATACACACATACATATATACGTACAGATATACACATATATATACATGCATATATGCAAACATACATACATGCATACATACATAGTTATACATATATACATAGCTATTTATATGTGCTTCTATGTATAAACACATATAAAAGAGAGAGAATATTTTATGCAAGCCTGGGTTTTCCATAGTTGGCTGGCCTCAGACCCTAAGATGAGCAGAGGAATAATATGCCGTAACTGTTTGTTGTTGACATCAGACAATTGAGTTGTTGACATCAGACAATTGAGTTGGAGCTAGGGCTGGCAATGGACCCGAACCTAACTTGGGACCTGAGGGGTATCCAATCCTGGTTTAGGTATGGGTCCAAAAATTAGACCCGGCAGGTCAGGTCCAAATCCAAATCTTGGACCCGAACACTATTTGGGTTCGGGTCTGGGTCCGGTAATATTTCTCAAGTCCTAATATATAAAATATATTTAAATATAATCAAATACATTAATATTTTAATTTTTGGATAGGGTCCAAGTCCTGGTCCCATACTATATTTTCAGTCCGGGTCTGGGTCCCATATCATTTTTTGGGCAGACCCGGACCCGACCCGTCCCATCCCGTTGCCGCCCCTAATTGGTGCCAGAAAAAACTGTCACAAGCTAGATGCCGCGTAATACACAAACCCCATAAAAATATATAAAGTAAAAAGATTCTAAGGCTGAGGGCCTATACTATTGCTATAGGGAAAAAGGCTAATAAAGGGTCTTAGCTAGATTTGTTTGACCCCAAAAGTATGAAATCAAATTTATTCCTCTTTAAAGTCAATCTTAAAGAGAAATTGGTTTTGTAGCTCAGAATATGCTCCATCTCAATTCCTCAAAGGCAACTAGGGAGCAACTAATTACTAGATAATGAAATCTAGGGTTTTAAGACTTAAAAGGAGCAACTAATTACTAGATAATGAAATCTAGGGTTTTAAGAGTTCAAAATTGTTTAACCTTTTTTTTTTTTTGAACTTTATAAAAGTGTGAATCAAACATGTTAAAGAATACCAAAGTGATAAAAATCTACCTAGCTAGTTGTTTTACCATTAGGCCTATAGTGTAGCTATAGGCCACTTGATCTATGCAATCTTTCGCTCTATAAAAAATGTAAATATATAAGATGTACTAACTAGTCGAAGGTACATTACACGATGCTCCAACAAATTAGGCGAAAGAAAATACTTAACATGATTAAATAAAAAAAATAACTTCAGTTTTTACTAAATTTTTAGGCTATTGAACGCATCAGTTTATTTTTTCTGTACTTTCAATTAGTTTGTTATATTTGTCCTAATTTCTAGTTTCCCTAGGTATATATTTCATCCCCAGTAATTCTCTACAGATAAAGTACGGTCATTTTATTATACAAAATATTTCTCAACTATTTAATTTAAATGATAAATTAATATATTACTATTAATTTCATTTAAATTTAAGATCTATAGCAGAATTACTTTTCCGTTGAATTTTATTTAACTTCTCACATTAGTTTTCATTAATTATTTTAAAACAAAATGTAGCAATTCTCTAGCAATTCACATTAGATTTGGAGAATAAATAAGGAGGTTTTTTTTGGGGAGAACAAGAAATTTTTAAAAGCATTCTATTCGGATTTAGATATCAAAGAAAATGATTTTCTACTGAAGAGAGACATGAGTGTTTATTTTTAATTTGTGTTTGGTTTTAGAGAGATTGTAAAAAGAGAGTTACGAATAAAATGATATGTGGTTTGTGTGAGAACACGTGTATGAGAGAGAGAGAAGAGAGTTCCTCTTTAGTGTTTAGAACAGTGGTAATAATAAATATCAAGTTAGAGCAGTGTGACTACGATCGGACAGGTCATCGAAAAACTAGTCCAACCGTCAGCCGAACCGATTTGACCGGATTTTAAAAATATTAAAAAAAACATGAATAATAGTTTGAAAATATGCAATATGTTAAATTTTTTTTTTTTAAAAAAAAAGAGCCCATTTTGTTTAGTTAGTTGAACTTATCAAAATTGGTCACTCAAACTAGTCAAAAATAGCCAAATACTAGTTTTGATTAAACTCAATTTGTACTTTTAGACTAGACCAACCAAGGTACCAATCAAATAGAAAGAAAAAGAGAGATTATCTATCTTTAGTGAATGTCAAGTTAGAAGGAAGTTTTGAAAGGAAAAGAGAGAAAATAGATGATGCTGTTCTTGCCTATGACACTGTGGGCCGCTTGAGATTGACGAAGGATAGCAGCCAAGCCCAGGTCTCCAATCTTAACTTGAGAAGAATGTCCATTGATAAATATATTATCACATTTTAGATCTCTGTGGATGATGGGAGGGCAGTGGCTATGGAGGTAAACAAGGCCTTGTAGTATCTGTCGACCCCAGTTCTTGATAGCTCGCATGTCCACTCTCCTGTATTTTTGCCTGTACCTGCAGCACACAATCCATGCCTCACTTCAGATCCCACCTAACACGCATTTGGTTAAGAGTGGTGTTCACAAAATGGGATTCTATATCTTGAGCCCATTTATCTTTGTTATAAAGAGGTCACAATTATTAGTAGCTATTAGATATCAAATTAGATAGCTTGGGGTGCTTGGTTTGAAATTTGACGGACATAGGGGTGGCAACATGTCAGGTATGGCTGGACCTGGACCTGGACCCGGACCCGGATAGTATTCGTGTCCAGGTTTTGGACTCGAAAACGATCTTTCGAGTCCAAAATTTAGATTCATACCCAGACCTGAGGCCGGGTCTACCCGTCGGGTACCAAGGCTAGTCGGGTCCATTGCCACCCTGTGACTATGAGCTTCTTCTTCTTTTTTTGGCCCTTTTTTTTTTTACCATTATATAAAATACACCCATATTATTGGCAACATTTGGAGTATTGCACAACATTCATGAGTACCCACGTTCTTTATTGTTTAATGTAACAACTAGAAATTCCCGAGAAACAAATGTATTGTTGAATACCCACATATACCCATATTATTCAAGTAGGATTTGGGTCGGGTCCGCCTGAATCGAGATTTCAGGTCCAAGTTTTGGACTCATACCCGGACCCGAAGTCGGGCTTACCCGAGGTCGAGTCTACCCGATAGGTCCTGGATCTGATCAGGTTTATTGCCATCCCTAAACAAACATGATTGATTATGACCTCCTTGTACCTAAAGTAAATAGTTTATTTGTATAATTATACTTAAAAAATTGCCTGATGAACGAGGGATTTGCCCGAGTCAAATCCCATACGGAAAACCTTGGAATTATCTAAGTTTTCCTATGAAAAGAAATGTAAATTCTATCTTATGAATAAAAGTACAAACAAATTAATATAGAAAGAAAGGAGGCGGCATTACTCGCGCAAGGTTCCGGATGCAAACAACTCAGTGATGAAGTTGATTGTGCGAGAATCGGTGTCTACCCATGAAGCATAAGATTTGATGATATTATCGTGATTCAAAGTGCGCAGAAGATGAACCTCCGAATATAGGCGTTGCAGTTCATCTGGTGTCCTGAAAACATCTTTGAGCTTCACCTGGTTCCAAGCTACCTCCATTCCTCTTAGCTCATCAAAAGCTTTGTAACTGTTGTATCAGAAGCAGTATGGTCAAGAAAAATGTTGTTTGTGTTTTTTTCTTTTTTATGTTATTCGTTCTTTATTTTAAATTTGGCATTAAAGAAGTTTAGGACTATAAATTTTTCAGAAAAGAACACAAGAATTATGAAATATTAAATGCTTCAAATTTTGTAATAAAGGATACACAGTCTTTGTCGCCCCTTTCCCAAGTATGTCATTGAACTGCAAAAGAAAAGGCCGAGTCAAATTAGTTGGACTAGCTAATGGAACTTTGATGGATAAAAATGCATAATTGAACTAGAATGTTAGATATGAGATTGTTTACAAAGAGACTATTTATCTTTTGTGTGTGGATGTCACAATCATTCCCACTCATTAGATGTCAAATGTTATAGCTTGGGGTGAGTAATAAAGTTCAAGAATTATTTTTTTTGGAACTTTGTATCTATTTAATAACACTCTTACAACCACCCGTTTTGAAATTTAAGAGACGAATGATTATAACATCCATATACAAAAATATAAATGATCTATTTGTAAACAATCTCGTAAGATATTGCATTTAGAGGAAAAGGGGGATAGGCATGGTCTTAATTGTGGTCAAAGAGAAAAACAAAGTTCAAAGAGAGATGTGTGTGTGCTGTGGAAGAGAAATACGCGCCTTTATAGCGTTTATAAGTGTCAATTCAAACAAAAAAGGGCGACTGTCAATCATGCTCTTCAAAGAAGATTTATGCATTCTCATTTTTAACAACCACACCATTCATTGTTAACAGTCATGTCGTTTCACAAATTTGTGTGCCTGGGTAGTCGTTAACTGCGTGCGGTCGATTAATTGTTTTTACTTATTCTTTGTTGACTAGGTTGTTTTTTCATCATCACTATTATCATTCAAGATTTATTTCAATTATTTGGGATCGACTACACATTTAAGTTCTCAACCATCATTAGGTGTCACTGTCATTAATTATGTGACACTATCAATTTCTAAACTCTAATGTTAAAAAAATGAACAAACAACTTTGTATTTTTATATTTTATTTATATAAACATGTATAATATAATGTTTGTGTGTAATATAAAGTTTGTCTCAAGTACTCTCACGCAGGGATGAATCCTTAACGTACTTTGTTAAAAGAACATCAAGTAAGAGACAATCAACTCATGTTTACTCAGAATTTCATACAAAAACTGACGTCTCTCTCTCTTTTGTATTTGAAAAAAAAAAAAAGTGAAAGGTGACTCCTAAAAATACTTAGATAACTTGAACAAAGAAATGCTTAATACATTATACTCAGTATTTATATTTTATGATCAAATAAATCAAATTACTTTCTTATAGACAATGAAAATATCATCATCAATTTTAGGGAATTATTCCATGGTAACCCCTTTCATAATCCCTATCAAATGATATAAAGAATAATTTATTCTTGCCCCTCCAATTGTCCATGTTGCCCATTTTTTTTTTAAAAAAAATCCTCATTAAATGCTCCAAGATAATTCTCAAATGACATTTACGTTATTTCTCTATGTTCACTCTTTATTTCTTGTTTCTCAAAACCCATAACTCCACTTTATATTTTGATGAATCACAAAGGCACATGAATCACTAACAACATACTCCATGTTTCCACTATGCAAAGAGCGAGAAGAAGGGAGCAATGGTTTTTTAAAAGTAAAAACCATAGAAGAAAGAGAGATTGAAAGGATGCGAGTGACATTTTATAATTAGTTTAGGGTACTTAATGAAGGTTATAATAAAAAAAAATAAAAAATATCCTATTATCTCTTATTTTCAACTTCTATATCTCATCATATCCAAAAATTAAAAATATTACTTGTAAGCAAAATGACTCCATCTTTTCCATCTTTCAACCTCCTAAACCCTTTGACCATATATTATTGGCCTCAACAACTTATAAAATGATTATATGTCTCTCTCTCTCTAAAACTCCATCTCTTTCTCACATCATTCTCTATCTCTTTCAAAATTTTCTCTCTCTCTAAAGTCCAAAATCCATCTCTTTCTCTCTTACATCATCGTCTCTCTCTCTCAAAGCTTCATCTCTCTCCCTAAAACTCAAACTTCATTTCTCTCTCTAAAACTTCCTCTCTCTCTCTCAAATCCAAACTCCATCTCTCTCTCTCTCATACATATAAGAAGGTGTGCTCGTGTTCGAGCTCAAGCTCAACCCCTTGGTTAGAAAACTCATCGAGAAGCGAAGAGAGAGAGAGAGAGAGAGATGAAGTTTTAGAAAGAGAGAGATGGAGTTTGAATAGGGTGTCATTTTAATATTTGTTTGGGTCAAAATTTTATGGTCAAATGGGTCTAGGGGTTGTAAAATAGAAAAGATCGAAACTTTTTTCTTACAAGTAATATTTTCAATTTTTGAGTCTCATGAGATATAGAAGTTAAAAATAAAAAATAAAGAGATATTTTTCCTAAAAATAAATGACAGTAGAGACATTTGGAAGGGGCAAAGAATGAAATATTTGTAAACTTCTTAATGTTGTTTGATAGGGATAAGTAACATTTTTAGTGATCATAATGATATTTTTTACCTTAATTTTAATGGGAGTATTTTTGACACAAGTCAGTGGCAAGATACTTATATCTCTTATACATTCTCTTATACATTATGCACAACACATTTAGTTTTTGGATGCTATTTTAAAGCCATTTCATTGGTCATTCGCTGAAGAAGAAAGTACCCTTCATGAATACTATTCTCTCTCTCTCTCATACAAAAGAACTCTCTTTCTCCCCCATATACGCCTATTCCTTTACTCTTCTAGAAAATTTACGATTTTTCCAACTTGTTTTGCATGATTATTTCACCATATCTTCGGTTTAATAATTGCATTAGCCGAATTAGAATTTGGACCATTGGTCAATATATACTCCTTGTATTTTTGCAATCCATTTAGATAAGAAAAAGTACAGAATGAAACTATTTAACTTTTGTACAAAGTAATCATAAAAAGTGAAAATATGTATATTCAAGCCTTAAGCTCCCATAGATGCATATTATATAAACCACACAATTGAATTATTGAACCACGTAGATGTATTACATAATGCATACATTGTATTATTAAGGATGCATTAGACGTTTGTATGATACCCTATTTATAGGGTCACATCTTTGTGGTACAGCTTATATATAGCCTGTTTACGGCTTAATACTTCATGGGTGTATATTTCAACAAATTGAAGTTGTTCACAGTTGTAGTCAAAGATATCAAATTGTGTATATTTCAACAAATACGTGAACATAGTTGTACAGTCAAAGATATCATGTTGTATATATTTCAACAAATTGAAGTTGACCACGGGATGTGAAATTGGGTGCATGTATTTATTGCATTGATCAAGCTCAAAGTTCAAATTAGGTGCATGTATTTATTGCTATCAAATTTCATATCATATGGTTATAAGTAATTGTAACCACCTTATAAAATCCAATATATATATAGAGAGAGATAAAAGCTGAACCAACTGTATGTGTATGTATATACTGTTGATCAAACCTGTATAAGCATACCATCTAACTTCTTTGCTAGCACCATTCAAGAATGGCAATTAAAAATAGTTTAAGAAAACCCAGTTATTTTGGTCCAATGAAGAGGCATGCAATTTCGAAGAGAAAGAACATAAAACAATAAAAATAAAAATGAGCAAGAATTCAGAGCTGTTTTCCCCAACTAACAATGAACTTAATTGCACAAAAAATAAAAGGATAGATAACAGAATATGGAAATGAACGCAAGAACATAAACATATAATCAAGTTAAAAAATTACAAAATACACAAAAGGAAGCAATTAAATGTTACGAATACTCACTCGTCCATATCGACCTGAAGGATCAGTCTCGACGTAACAGGGTTCGGGTTCACTGTAATTTGGTGGCCTATGCTTGAACATGTTCGCCAGAAAACTAAAGCTTTAAAGGTCGAAAAAGATTTCTGAAGGTGGACTAGATCCTCGGTTTTCCTTCATGATTCTCATAAGAAAAAAGCCCAAAAAGCAACCAAAATAGTCTGGAATAATCAATCCTAAGCATGATCCAACCCATTTTCACTACACGGTGATAAAACTGGAATTCTTGTAACTTAAATCCCTTCCCAAACATGGAGTACAAACAAGAACTATAAAAATCCACTTAAGGAACACAAACTTTTATGCTATGAAAACCACAAAAAGTAGGAGAAATATGAGCCACCCAAGATTTTAATGGAAACGAAACACCAAGAGGATATAAAGATCGGATTTTGGAAGATATAAAAAACCCAAAAGAATAAAATTGGGCTTTTTTAGAGAAATCAACAAAAGTAGGATATTGTTCAAAAACAGGTTAGAGTGTTTTCAAATATGTCAAAAGAGAAGGCAACCAAATTGCAAGGAAAAAGAGGTAAATCCTAATTCAAAATGAGAATTGGGTTAAAGAAAATGGGGGATCTGAATTTGAAAAATCTATGTTTAGGCATGTTTAGCTTCATTTGCATTGGTTTGAGAGTTGATTTTTGTGGAGGCAGAGAGAGAGAGAGAGAGAGAGAGAGAGAGAGGAGTA